AGGTTCCTTAATTCCTCCTCACTTTCTGCCATCAGAGTGGTATCATCTGCATATCGGAGGTTGTTGATATTTCTTCCGGCGATCTTAATTCCGGCTTGGGATTCCTCCTGTCCAGCCTTCCGCATGATGTATTCTGCATATAAGTTAAATAAGCTGGGGGACAATATACAGCCTTCTCGTACTCCTTTCCCAATTCTGAACCAATCAGTTGTTCCATATCCAGTTCTAACTGTTGCTTCCTGTCCCACATATAGGTTTCTCAGGAGATAGATAAGGCGGTCAGTCGCCTCTTGTGTTGTTGGACCTCTTATGTTGTTGTGTTGTATCTTTGTTTATTGCTCAACAATTAGAGATTCTTACACTTTACGTTTACTGTTTAAATGCGCATTGTTCTATATATCTGTTTTTAAATCTTCTGTTGGAAAATTAAAAATCATACAGACAGGTTTTAATATCTACATCACCCAGTCTTGAGAGTCATGGCCTCCTTTATTGGTATAAATAATCCTGATTAAGAAGCAAAATAAGAACAGGTATGAGGTCCATGCTCTTTTCCTCCTCCCCCTCACTATGTGTATAAAGGAAGAAATGGGAGATTTACGATCACAATTCATATTAAACAGCAGTTTCATGTTTTATTTATGTTGGGTAAAGCACTCTCCTCACTACTCGGGGTATCAAACCAAGATCTGTGGAGAGATTAGAGTTTGCATAAACTGCAGTTTGTTGTACTCGGACACAGTGTACATTTCCTCTTGATTTCGAGATCTATCCAATTTATTGCAGTTATTCTCCTCAGGTCAAAAGGAGAGGGGAAGCACACATCTCCAAAGTTTGCACCTGCCCTTTTTTCTAATGACTATCCAGGATTTGTTGTTACCTCTGAATTAAGCTGCAGTAAAATAAAGATTACCTGATCAAAAAGCTGTTTTCCTGTTGTGTTAGGCTGGATGGCAAACTCCAGCTCTGCATCCATCGTGGTAACTCTTACATTAATCTGAAACACAAACAGTAAACTGTAAATACTAACATGGCCTCAGATACACTTCTCGTATTTTAAGTAAATGAAAAGCAAGCTAATTAAAATTGGTAGACCATGATCTCTTTGCATGCAAAGATTTATGTTCACTGTCAGATAAGATTGCAACCAAGTACACAATGATTAAATGCCATCACCATCTGGAATCTTATTTAATTGATCTACCCTGGCACTTTTGTATTAACAGTACTGTAACTTCTCACATAAAGAAAACTGCCTCAAACATATGGTATTGTGAGGAGCAAAAGATAATGTGTCCTCCTCATTATACTGGCCTGTTTCTAAAATTGTGTGGAATAGTATTCTTTATAACTTACTGAAAAACTGCAAGTACTGACCAATTTAGCCAAAAAGCATACAGTGGACCCTTGACTTACAGACGGCTTGACTTACAGACTTTTTGACTTGAGAACCGCCTTCCAATACGGATTAAGTTCTCAAGTCAAGACCCCACTGTAAGTGTTTTAGGCCGATAAAAATAGGAAAACTTTAAAAAGTCTATCTACCTTTGCTTCTGTAGCATCAAAACATCATAATACTTGCTCATAATTTTGTTTTCTTTTTCCTCAATTAATACTGATACCATTCTTTGCAGCTATATTTTCCCCATACCTTGTTTCTTTTTCATTATGGAAATACAGTGGACCCTTGACTTACAGACGGCTTGACTTACAGACTTTTTGACTTGAGAACCGCCTTCCAATACGGATTAAGTTCTCAAGTCAAGACCCCACTGTAACAAAGTCTAGCTAAACTGCATAAAAATGGTACAGAACAAAGCACCATTTGTTTTCCAGTTAAATTAAAAGTCATTATTATTTTTTTAATTACCAAGTCATCTTGCTAAAAATGGCCACACTGACAGAAGCCAAAAAGGCAAAGCTAAGGAACTGGGTTTCCTCAGTGGTGGCCCCCAGTCTCTGGAATGGGTTACCAACAAAGATACAACAGGCTCCTTCCCTCCTTATGATCAGGAATTTGTTGAAAATAGAACTATTTGAAGCTCCTTTCAACAACTGAATCTCACATATGCTGTTGATGTTTTGTTTATTTTTATTTTCTTGTTCTTCCTCTTCTTTTTTTAACTCGCCATACTGTCATATATGTATTGTTATGTGAGGTATGTGGGATTTGTAAGTTTTAAAATATAAATCACCCAGAGTAGTGTGTGCACTAATGCAGCGGTATATAAATTCAATCAATCAATCAATCAAAGATCTATGCTGTCTGTTTGGTACTGGATTACTTCGAAATTGTTGAGAACATCCAAATGTCTTACAGCTATGGAAAAACTGTATTTACTATTATTTATTTATTTAAAATATTTTTACCCCACCTTTGTCCTTGAAAAGGACCCGAGGCTGCTTACAACTTTGAAACACGATACAGTGGTGCCCCGCTTGACAATTACCCCGCTCCACCATGAATCCACTTTACGATGAGTTTTTTGCGATCGCTATTGTGATCGCAAAACGATGTTTAAATGGGGAAAATCCACTTGACGACGATCGGTTCCCTGCTTTCGCTTAATGACGATCAAAAACAGCTGATCGTCGGGTTTTCAAAATGGCTCCCCGCTGTGTTCAGGACAGATTCCTCACTTTAGAGGCATCGGAAAATGGCCGCCCTATGGAGGATCTTTGCTGCACGATGAGGCATTTCGCCCATTGGAACGCACTGACCGGTTTTCAATGCATTTCAATGTTTTTTTTTCTTTCGCTTGACGACGATTTTGCTTAACAGCGATTTGAACGGAATGGATTATTGTTGTCAAGCAAGGCACCACTGTATTTGTAGTTGAAAACAATGACTATACAATGGTGGTTAACATAATTAAAAGACAGTACTTAAAACTATGATCAACAAATAAAGAGGCATCTTACATCATTAACAGGCAATATTAAGGCAAGGATTAATTATATAAATATTTTTTTAAATGCCATTCAGAAATGGAAAACACAAAAATAGAAAACAGAAGTAGTACTAAAATCCAATCAAAACACCAATGCATAGCAATATTTCTAAAAATCACACACAGGTAGCTAGTTACTGAGGAAAGGCTTGCCTGAAGAGAAAGGTCTTTGCCTGCTTGCAGAAGGACAGCAAAAATGGGCCAGTCTGGCTGGCCTCCTGTGGGAGGGAGTTCCAAAGTCTGGTATATAAATATTTTTAAATGCCACCCAGAAATGGAAAACACAAAAATAGAAAACAGTACTACTAAAAATTCAATCACACACAGGTAGCTAGTTACTGAGGAAAGGCTTGCCTGAAGAGAAAGGTCTTTGCCTGCTTGCAGAAGGACAGCAAAAATGGGCCAGTCTGGCTGGCCTCCTGTGGGAGGGAGTTCCAAAGTCTGGGATCAGCAACACTGCCTTTTTCTGTGTCCCCATTTGACACATCTGTGAAGGTGGTGGGACCAAGGGAAAGGTCATTTCTCATTATCATAACACCGAAGCCGAATCATAATGGGAGATAAGGTCTTTGAGATAGCTTCAACCCAGGCCATTTAGGGCTTTGTAGGTTAAAGTTGCCCTTTGATTTGTGCCCAGTAACTGACTGGCAGCCAGTGAAGCTGGTATAATGGGGATGTGGGGTTATGTGATCCCTGTAACCAGCCCCAGTCAGCCATCTTGCAGGGTTTGTTTGCTTTTGGGGGTTTTTTCCTTCAGACGGAACAGATTAATTGTGTTTCCGGTGGGTCTTGCAGTGGTGTTTTGGTTTTTTTTCCAGCCTTTCAATGCATTCCTATGGGAAATGGTGCTTCGACTTACGACCATTTTGAGTTACAACCATCTTCTGGAATGGAATAAGTTCATAAGTCAAGGCACCACTGTAGTTACTATACATGTGTCCCCGCAAAGTGCACCTGTGGGGAGGGGATACTGAGAGAAAAGCCTCGTGGCGCAGTGGTTAAAACGGTGTATTTTGTTTTTTCCAAGCCGGAACAGATTAATCACCTTTCAATGCATTCCTATGGGAAATGGTGCTTCGACTTACGACCATTTTGAGTTAAAACCATCTTCTGGAATGGATTAAGTTCATAAGTCAAGGCACCACTGTAGTTACTATACATGTGTCCCCGCAAAGCGGAGGACACATGTATAGTGGGGAGGGGATACTGAGAGAAAAGCCTTCCCTAATGATCTTAACACCCAAGCAGGCTTATAAATGGAGACACAATCCTTGAGATAGGTCTGACCCCAGCTATTTCAGGCTTTATAGACTAAAACCAGCATTTTGAACTGTTTCTGGAACCTAATTGACAGTCAGTGAAACTGCAGAAACAGGCAGGTTATGTAAGCCCTGTACTGTAAATCAGCCCCAATTAACAATCTGGCTGCAGTATTTTGGACTCACAGAAGTTTCCAAGTACTTTTCAAAGGCAGTCCCACGTACAGTGTATTACAGTAATCTAGCTAGGATGCCAGACATCTTAAGCAATGAACACAGCTGGTGCACTAGTTTTAAATGTGCAAAGGCACTCCTGGCCATGGCCATAACCTGGGCATCCAGGCTCAGAGACAAATCCAGGAGCATACAGTACTCATGCTGTGTGCCTTTGTTTTCATGGAATCTGGAACCCCATGCAGTACAGAGAGAATCCCTATTCTTTAATTTGCCGTTCAACTGACCAGGAGCACCTCTGTCACGTCTGGAGTAAATTTTGATTTATTCATCCTCATTTAGTCCATTACTGATGTCTGACACTGATCTAGAACTGAAACAGCTTCCTTGGATTTAGGTGGAAAGGAGATATAGAGTTGGGTGTCATCTGCATACAGATGACACTGAACCCCAAAACTCCAGACAACCACCCCCAGTGATTTCATGTAGATATGAAATAGCATAAAGAATAAAACAGAACCCTGAGGGCCACCACAGGCCAGTGTGGATAAAAAAAGAAAGTAACAATTTCTTTAAAATCATATTTATTTAAATCATGATTTAAATTTAAAAAACCATTTTATTTAAATTTTAAAATCTGATTTTTAAAATTTCAATTAATTTGATTTAAATGAAATCCACCCCACTACAGGCTAACAGCCAGGGTGTCAAACAGAAGTCCCCTATCACTGCTTCTTCCCTCCAGGAAGAACTAGAGAATACAGTGGTGCCTCACTTGATGATGTTAATCCGTTCCAGTGAAATCGCTGTACAGCGAAATTGTCATCAAGTGGGGGGGAAAAACCATCAAAATGCATTCCAATGGGCTAAATACCTAATACTATCAAAACGCATTGAAAACCGCTCAATGCATTCCAATGGGCTAAATACCTAATCGTCCAGCGAAGACCCTCCATACGGCAGCCATTTTCCGGTGCCTGTCTTGCGAAAAATCTGTCCTAAAAACAGCGGGGAGCCATTTTGCACAGTGGGCGGCCATTTTAAGAGTCACCGATCAGCTGTTTCGAAACTATCATTAAGCGAAAAATTGGTTCCCGAAGCAGGGAACAGATCCTTGTAAAGCGATTTTTCCCATTAAAACATCATTTTGTGATTGCAAAAACCTCATCGTCAAGCGGATTTGTCATTTAACAAGGTAATCGTTAAGCGAGGCACCACTGTAGTGCCTCCAAGTCAAGATTCCCTCTAAGGTGCACGGCTGCATGCAAACAACTGTGCCTTCCCCTACCCCATCCAGCATTCCTTCTCCTCCAGTTACAAACATCAATACTCTCCAGCCCCTCTGGTTCCAGTCATGACGGGACCCCATGCAGGAGGGGCCAAATCACACGCACAGGGGACAGAACCACACATGCAAGGAGCAAAGCCCCGCCTAGCCGGGTTGAAAATGAAGAGGGAAACTTGCTCCAAGTCTCATACCAGAAAGATGGCCTGGAAAGATAACATGGCCAGAAGTATCGAAAGCCACTGAGAGATGCAGCAGAACCAACAGGGACTCACAAGCCACTGGTCTGGGTAGTAGCATTAA